AATGTTACAATGACAAACAAAAAAAATCAGCAGACTAGATTAAAATGAAAACCAAACCCATATGCTGTTTGTGAGAAAGACCTATGAAGTCATAAAAGTTGAAAATATGAGAATGAATTAATTCTAAGAAGATGACAGCATAGATTTTTTTCTTTATTGATATTAGAGAGAGAGAGAGAGAGAGAGAAACATTGATGACAGAGAACATCGATTGGCCGCCTCTGTATAGGCCCCACTGGGGATTTGGCCCACAACCTGGGCATGTGCCCTGACCGGGAATCAAACTAGCAACCTCTTGGTACATGGGTCGATGCTCAACCACTGAGCCATACCAGCTGGGAAACACCATAGATTTTTAATCTCCCTAGATGTCCTTATATAAAAACATAGAGCAACTAAAATAATCCAAAAAACTTATGGGCAACATCTACAACTGTTAGGATGATTTGGCATTTTGCACAAAACACCAAAATAGTTGGTGGGATAAACACCTGAAAGCTATAAGACCTGTGTGGTATCAATGTCTGTGTAAGAGGAAGGAGAGGCTGACTACAGGGTATAATGATGAATCCAAGAACTCTAATAAGTTAACTCAGCAAGCTCTTTTGAGAATAGCAGCTTAGTGGCCATCTTTCAAAATGACCCCCAATAATTCCTGCTTCCTGGTACTCACATGTTGCATAGTTGCCTTTCATATATTCTATGGTTGCTCTGTGTGACTAACAGGATAAGGCAGAAGTGATTGTATACAACTTCTGAGATTGGGTTATAAAAACATTGAAGCTTCCATTTTGGGCTCTCTCAGATCACTTCCTCTGGGGGAAGCCAGCTACTGTGTTGAGAATTCAGTCTTTCCCCAGTTTGAGCCTTTAGATGAGACTGCAACCCTGGTCAGCAGGTTGACTGAAACCTCGTGAGAGATCTTGAACCAGACCTACCCAGCTAAGCCTCTTCCAAATTCCTGATCCACCAAAACTGTAAGGTAATCTTTGTTTTATGCTACTAGTTTTAGGGCAATTTATTTGTTATGCAACAATAGGTAATAATACAATTGAAGCTAAAAGGAAGTAGGCACCCCAGTTTGGGTGAGTATAAGCAGTTTGCAGTGAGGTCTGTAGGAATTAGACCTCTATGAACTCTCAAAACTAACTAAAGCTCCATTCCAAGACAAAGCCCTATATTGAGAAGAAACTACTGTGAATGCACTCCAAACTGAATAGAACAGAGACAATGAAGACCAAGGAAAAAGGGATCCAATTAAAAATAGGGGAGGGGCCCTGGCCAGTTTGGCTCAGCGGTTAGAGCGTCGGCCTGCGGTCCGGAGAGACCCGGGTTCGGTTCCCGCTAAGGGCACGTACCTCGGTTGCAGTTTGTCCCCGGCCCTGGTTGGTCGTGCGGGTGGCAGCCACTCGATGTGTCCCTTCACGTCGATGTTTCTCTCTCTCTCTCTCCTTCCTCTCTCTCCCTCCCACTCTATCTGTACAAAAAAATGGAAAAATGTCCTCGGTGAGGATAAAAAAAAAAAAAATAAAAATAAAAAAAATAGGGGAGGGGAGCCCTGGCCAGTTTGGCTCAGCGGTTGAGCGTTGACCTGCGGACCAGAGAGTCTTGGGTTCAGTTCCTGCTAGGGGCATGTACCACACACAAAACATAAATTAAAAAAAAAAAAAAAAGTAGGGGAGAGGAATAGAGCCAGAGATTTCAGGAAATAAACTTCCATAATGTCTTTTTAAAAAGTAATTTTTGAGTCCTAATTTACATATAGTAAAATGAATATTAGCAAGTATATATACCTGTGCCACCACTGTAATCCAGATATAGGACATTTTGATCACCCCAAAAAGTTCCTGTGGGCTCCATTAAAGTCACCACCACCACCACCACCACCTTCAGCCTTGACTCCAGACAACTACTGATCTGATTTCTGTCTGGTTGGATTTTAGCTGCCATAGTATTTAATGCTTTAAAAAGCAACAAGAAATAGAGTGAGCTCTGTGGAACTCTAGCTATATACTAGCAAAGTTAAGTGAAATTATACCCTCTAAAATTTCAAGAAAGTCAATTTTATAAAAAAAATAATAATAATGAGCCCTGGCCGGTTTGGCTCAGCGGTTAGAGCATTGGCCTGAGGTCTGGAGAGACCCGGATTCGGTTCCCGCTAAGGGCACGTACCTCGGTTGCAGTTTGTCCCCGGCCCTGGTTGGGTCATGTGGGTGGCAACCACTCGATGTGTCCCTTTCACGTCGATGGTTCTCTCTTTCTCCCTCCTACTCTATCTGAACAAACTATCAAAAAATGTCCTCAGGTGAGGATAAATAAATAAATAAATAAATAAAATAATGAAATAAGAAAAGACAAGAATTGATGTCAAATACCATACAAAATTAGAAAAAAACAAGAAGGAACTAGGATAGCACCCTTACAATGAAAGTATCACAGAAAGACATGCGTGAGTCAAGAAAACCTGAGCCAAGGATTTTAAGTCTAGCCAAACTGGCCTTCAATATAAAGGTTGGAGGCAACTCATTAACTTGTTAGAACTAAGGAAGGCATTGTTTTCTTGAACACTTCCTGGGAAATCTAGAGAACTAACTTCAGACCACTGAGATGACATGAGAATTTGACAAAGAATGGTTGTAAAAATTAAAATATTGCTATACTTAGAACTAGGGCTAAAGGAGATATAGAAAGGAGGAAGTATAATATGTATGTAATTGTTATATGATCTGACACTAAATATAACTAAGACATAGGGAAAATATACAGAAAAATTTTAAAGCATTTTCAGTCATAATGACAGCTGGTGAGAATGTCTTGTTTATACTTTGGGATAAAGCAAATAAGTATCTGTAGCATTATAATTTAGGGATCATTGGTGTATTTTCTGATTAGAGAAGAAGGAGAAACAAATATAATTGTTTGTTTGTTTTTTAAAGTAAATTCACCCTTTAGTCCTGAATTTTGAACAGAAAGCTTATATGAACTCATGAGGTATTTTGTATGTGTTAATGTGTTGTTTCAGTTCTATAGCTCTGTCCACTGAAATATCAATCCAGTTCCAAACAAGCTTTTCTAGTCCCTAAATTATGGTCTAAATACCATGTGTACCTAAAAGAAACAAGGCTTCCTTAGACATAAGTCTTCAGGCTAGGGGCAGAAAACATACAAGATGAACTCGGAATGTGTTGTCTTATAAATAATAAGGAAGCCCACAAATGCTGCAAAGTTCTTGTCAGAAAAATTTGAGAGTCAACTGGAAGATCCCATTGGCCAAAGATGAGACTATTTGAACATTAATAAGGAAAATAACTACAGAGTATTGAAGCACTTTAAATATGTGAATATCTAGTAATATAGAAACTCATGGGTCACCTCTATAGGATGTTAGAGGAACTATTTCTTTTAAAATCTGATAAAGTATTTAATCTACATTTGTTATATATATATATGAACTATACCACTGAGTCAGCAAATAGTTCGTGATGTTGAGTTTCTCTGTATGGAATTATTCCAGCAAATAAATGAGCAGGAAATGATAGAACTGGAATATCAACATTTTCTAACCCCCAGTGAATTAATCTAGGCATTGAGCATCTGTGGCTGCTGTCATCATAGGAAAATGCAACTAAATAACTAGGTGCTTCCTGATGGAAATAGACTTTAAATAGTTCTACCGAAAAATGAACCTGGATTTGATTATGCTTTTTGAAGCCAGGTTTGACAAAAACAATTTTTTTTGTAAAGGTCCAGATAGTAAGTTGTTTAAGCTTTGGTGGCCAGGTGGTCTCTGTCAAAACTATACAACTCTGCCATTGTAGCAGGAAACCAGCCATTGAGAATACATAAATGAGGAGGCGTAGCTATGTTTCTGTAAAACTTTACTTACAGAAGCAGGCAGTGGACCAAGTTTTTTGACCACTGCTCTGGATCCAACTACCAATTTACTGGAAATACAAACAGAAAAAACTAAACTACGCTTTGGGACTGTAAATGTCAAAATCAACACTGTGGGAAACTTTATAGGATAAATGATGGGAGTTCAACAGATTGCAAGGAAGAAAGAGATTGTGTGGAAATTTATAGATTAGAGTCTTCAAAACATAGGCAAAAATTATACATTTGTCTATGCACTTTTCTGCATTTGTGTGTATTGACATTAATAGTTTTAAAAGAAAGGTGAAAGGATGGAAAATGTCATCAAGCAAATTAAAAAAGATACATTTTTGGTACAGAATGTATTAGTAGAGACACTTCATAAGATTTAAGAATCCTAAATCTGTATACTCCCAATGACATAGCTTCAGAAATATAAAGCAAAACTTGACAGATTAAAAGGAGAAATGTACATATCTACAGTCATAGCAGGAAACTTTGATGAAACATATGCAAACAGGTATAGATTGTATCTATGAAAAATATGGCTTAGTACTTGAAAGACTTTTTAAAAAATCTTCACCCAAGGACTTGCTTATTGATTTTTAGAGAGAGAGGGAAAGGGAGAGAGACAAACAGACAGACAGAGACATTGATTGGTTGCCTTCCATAGGAGCCCTGACTGGGAATCATACAGGACAATGCTCCAATCGAGCCATACCAGCCAGGGCTGAAACATTTCTTTTTAATGATGTTATCTTATTACCTAGAAACTCACTGTATTTATTGGGAATATGTTTCAATCTTTCATTTAATTGAGAGAATCATTTTATCTAGTCTTTAAATTAAATTTACAAGATACCTATCTTCTTACCAGATAACCTAAGTGTAGTCTCTAAATTTTTTCCTAATATTACATTAAAGTTACACTTAACTTTTGAATATTAAATAATTACTTTTGGACTTTTTTCTCTATTGGAAACAATGACTCAGAGTAATTGGAATAATTATAATCCCAATTAGTAAATAGATAAAGTTCAGTGAGTTTTCACACTGACTTTTAATTATTATTTGCATATGATTAGATTTTGCTGGCAGAAGTTAACCTTTCTTCCTTTTTTAAACAGGGGTTCCGAAGGAAAATTAAATGACTGCCAGATAAGATTTGTAAATGAAATCTTCAAGATCGAGAAACCTGGAGCCCATCCTCTTTCATTGGCAGATGGAAAGTTTTTAAGTATGAATTTTTTTATGGGCTTAGACTACATATATTGTATATGATTGGCATTTTAATTGGCCAGGGAATAACTTTTGAGGAAGTAGAAAACTTAGCCCATACAATTTTATTTTCAAGACAGCAGTTTTAAGATCCATTTTGGTCTAATGGATTTTTCTCATGATAAAATTTGTTTTCAAAGAAATATTTTCTTATCTTGGCATTTTATTGCCATTTTCTCTGCTATAGGTTCTGTTCAAATAAAAATTCTATTTCACTAATTTTATGGCCATCCAAGATTAATTTTTACTAATGAAATTTATTTTATACCGGTAGAGCCTAAGAGTAATAGTGCTGATCGATCCTTATATTTTTGGAAGGTAATAAATGAGGTTTATATAATCATTAGAATGTAGCCCTACCTCTTCATTGTACGTATTTTACTTGCTTAATATCATACATCTAGTTGGTAACAGAGGAACGACTAGATTCTAGGTCTTTTCAGTCATGATTCAATTGCTATCTTTCCAAATAGATTACAGTGTCTCACACTTTGTTAATTCAGGATTTTTTGTGGAGAGAAATTCATTGACTTTATGCCACATGTCCATGTCTAGTGTATTCTGGAAAAAAACTATTTAAGATGAAAGGGATCCTGCCTAACCTCTTCTTACCACAATTGTGCAAGATTATAAGACAAGAACTTGAACACATTAATAAACAGACTTTCATGTTACCTGTCTAGGCCCTTCTCATTTTTTGAAGCTGCAATGCTAATATATCTAGATTTGAGTTAAGAACCTTAAGGCATACTCTGTATGGCTACTTGTATGGTTATATTGTAGGGATAGAGGTAACTTGATGAGTAACCTATTTAATGTGACTTAGTCTTTCTCAGTGAAACACAATAGAAAACCAACATTGACTAGGTTTTTTTCACATCTTCTGTTTTCTCCCTAGTATGTCTACATATATTTTTGTTCTCTATCTAATGCTAATAGCTACAACTTTGAAATTTATGTAAAGAAACCATTTCAGGGCCACAGCCAGACTTCCATTCATCAGATCACTCACTCTCCAAACCAAAAATCTGACATTTGCCCTTTAGGTTTGTTATGTTTCCATTACTTAGATGTTGTTCCAGCTACCTTACTAGAAGTCAAACAAAATTATAATCTTCATTAGCAAGAATATTCAGTGATCAGTCAAAAGTTAGTGCTAAAATCAGTTGTAGCCTTTTTTTTTTCTTCCTCAATCTCATTTGTCAGTGCTTTCCCCCATTTTCCTTATATTGCTAGATTAGTCCTGATATGGTAAATTACATTTGTAAGAAATTCAGAATGTAGAACTATATAAATTCAAATAGTATAGAACTCCCAGGTGGTAATCACTCTAACAGCGCATGCCACTCTAGACATCTTCCTCTACATAATTCATCTTTGTGTATTTAAATAATTTTGTTTTTTTTTTAAATTATTCTCCAATTTCCTTTTGAATTTAATATACCTGGCTTCCTCTGTATTAATAGTTCTTGTAAATTTACCCATGTTTTACATAAAACCTATCCAACTGTTCCTCTTTTGGTTGACATTTAAGTTTAACTTTTGGTTTTCTGAACATTACTGTAAGACTTTCTGTGTACCTATGTACATTTTTAAATTTCAAGGGAACACTTTGTCAAAAGGTGTTTGGATTTAGATGTGGAAGGGGCAATAAATGGTACTTCTTAACTTGCCAGAATTCTGAACCAATTGACAAAATAAAAATCGACTGAGTTAGAAATGCCACTTATATTACTAATAAAGAGAATATTGGAGGCATAAAATGGGAACTAAATGGGCTTGCCAACCCCTAACGGCCCTCCCCCTCCTAGTTCAGTCCACCCAAGGAAGGGTTTGGATCTGCAAGACAAATGATACCTAACAGTTCTATTTACTAATTAGGTCCAAACAACTTTGTTCAAAATACTGTATTTCCCTTGAAATTGTAAGATATCTTAGGTTCTCCAGTGAGTTCACTGCATTGGTACACATTTGGGTGGGGAACCGTGAGTCTAGTCAATACAAATTTTTAAGACAGAAGTGCATTACCCTCATGATTGAGTGTAATTAGATTTATTATTGGCATATGCCTGGGCTCAATCCCCAAAATTTTAATTCATAAGTCTAGAATGAAGCTCAGGCATTTATTCTTAAAAGTCCCAAACTTGATTATTATATGGTTCCTTTCTCTTCATTAAAAAAGCTGTGTGGTATTTTCATGGGTTTTTCCTTAGAAGATTCATAGGTGTAAAAATGATTTTAAGACTAGGCTTGCTGTATTTTGTTCTTATTAGGGAAAAATGACCCCGAATGTGACTTTTGTGGCGGAGACCCAGAAAAGAACTGCCATTCTTGCTCCTGTCATATATGTGGTGGAAAACAGGAACCCAGCATGCAGCTTCTTTGTGACGAATGTAACCTGGCCTATCATATTTACTGCCTGAACCCACCTTTGGATAAGGTCCCTGAAGAGGAATACTGGTATGACCATCAGGATTTTTGTTTGTTTGTTTTACTATGTTAAAATTGAATGTGAAATAGGTATTTGAACCACCAAACACAGATTTCTAAAGATGCATAATGTATATTAAAGTACTTAACATTTTATAGCCAATGGTCACCTGACATTGATACCTTTATTCATTTATTATATTCAGTTATTACAACTTCTGAACCAGTCTCTAGCTCTATATTTAATCCCTCCAGTCTCTTCTCCAATATGGAATCTGTTCATTCAAAATGCGAATCTGAATGTGTTACTGCTTTGCTTCAAAGGCTTTATGTTGCCTTAGAGTCCTGCACAGTATTTTTTAGTTGATTTCTCCAGCGATTCCAGCTATATTTCTTACCACTTTTCTCTTTATTTCCCCAAATATTCTATCCTCTAGCCAAATTAAATATCTTGTAGCTCTTTTTTTTTTTTTTTTTTTTTGGTATGTGCCCCTAGCAGGAACTGAACCTGGGACTCTCTGGTCCACAGGCTGATGCTCCAACTGCTGAGCCAAACCGGCCAGGGCTCTTATAGCTCTTTAAATAAGTCATGTTCTTTCTCTCCTCTGGGCTTTTACCCTTTTTTTTTGGTACGTGCCCCTAGCGGGAACCGAACCCAGGACTCTCTGGTCCGTAGGCCAACGCTCTAACCGCTGAGCCAAACCGGCCAGGGCTGGGCTTTCACTCTTAACACATTTTCTTCTTGGAAAATGTGCTTCACTTCACTCTTTGCTTCACTTCAGGATGATATTATTTCTTCAGGTTCTCATTTAAAAATTTTTTTTTCTTTATTGATTTGAGAGAGAGAGAGAGAAACATCGATGAGAGAGAATATCGATTGGCCACCTTGTGCATGTCTCTCACTGGGGATTTGGCCCACAACATGGGCATATGCCCTGACTGGGAACTGAACCGGCAACCTCCTGGTGCATGGGTTGACCCTCAACCACTGAGCCATAGTGGCCGGGCTCTTCACGTTTTCATTTAAATATGACTTCATTTGGGAAACCTTTGTGGATGGTTTTCCTCTAACTCCCAATTATTTTAGATGTGCCTATTATGTTCTAAAATAGTACTTAGTAGCTATTAAGCACTTAATAAATGCTAGACACTAACGGTGCTTTATATGGATTATTGTATTTAATCCTATGAGGTTAATAAATAGAAACAGGCACCAAGGTTAAATATACTTGACAAAAAATCTGTATTTCTTCCATTGAATTAGTTACAAAAAGAAATTATTAGAAAGGAGACTGGGGTAAAATGTATCCAAAGTTATAATGAACTTTTTAATGTCATAGTAAGAGTTTTCTTTTTAAACTATGGGCCTTGTTGCTAGCATGGAGGATGTTTAAGTTGCTTCCCCACCCCTATTTTAGGACAGTTTTTATTACAACAGAGAGTGTAGGAGTGATAGAAGAAAGGAAGGGGTATAACTTCTTTTACCCCCGCTTCACATTTTACTAACACAGTAACCATATTTCCTCTTAAGCCTCATATTTTCCTTTTGTTTCTATGGGCGGTAAATTCCTGTTTCTCTGAAATGCGACCCCTTCTACCTTCTCTCACAATTCCATATCCTTTGTTTTTTCAGGAACTTTGTTCCTATAGTGAATTACTCTCCTGAATCACCATTGCGAGGTTATACTCATTAGAATATTATATATTTTTAGAATATTAGAATATTTTTTATTTTTAATCCTCACCTGAGGATGTTTTTACTGATTTTTTTATCCTCACCTGAGGAATTTTTTTTTTTTGCATTTTATCTTCAGATAGAGCGGGAGGGAGAGAGGGAGGAAGAGAGAGCAAAACATCTATGTGAGAGACATATCAACTCGTTGCCACCCACACAACCCCAACTAGGGCCAGGGACAAACCGCAACCGAGGTACGTGCCCTTAGTGGGAACCGAACCCAGGACTCCCTGGTCCACAGGCCGACGCTCTGACTACTGAGCCAAACTGACCTGGGCTGTTTTTACTGATTTTTAGAGAGGAAAAGAGAGAGAAACTGATCATTTGCCTCCTGTACATGCCTTGACTGGGGATGTAACCTACAACCTTGACTCCTGATCAGGAAACGAATCCATAACCCTTCGGTGTATGGGATGACACTCCAACCATTGGAGCCACCCGGCCAGGGCTGTATGCTAGAATCTTGTTGTGTTTTCTAAACAGACACACACCCTCTCCCCTTGAATCCATTTCTCCCACCAGCTACCTATCCTATTTCTCTGTACCCTTCATGGCATAGCTTCTGAAGAGCTATCTCCACAGATTATTTTATTTTCTCTCCTCTCATTCGTACTTCAATACTCCAGTCTGACTTTTCCTTCCCACTACTCCACTCTATCAGCTTATGTCAGGCTCACAAACTTATTCTGTTGTCAGACCCAGTGGTGGCTTCTCAGTCCTCTCCTTGCTGTACTGCTCAGCTGCTAACTCTGTATAGATTGAATGATACCATATGATCTGACTTTTCTCCTACTTGGTCTTCTCTCACTTACCAGATTTCAGAGTTTCCCAAAGCACTACTCACTTGTTTTCTGAATTTATACCTTCAGATCTAATCTCCCTTGAGTTTTATATTCCTATATTCAACTGCTTACTTGCCTGGCATCACAAAATTAGTGAGTCCAAAATTAGTGAGGGGAATCTTTGATTCCCTGTTTACACCGCCCTTGTGTACCCTACATCCAATGATATACGAGCATATCTCATTGGTTCTCCATAATCTTTCTTCTCAACCTCAGTCCAAATCACCATCTCTTCCCTGAACTTCTATAATAAATGCCTAGTCTCCTTGCTTTCACATTGCTCACCAGCTTCCTTTCTTCCATGGCAGCAGAGTGATCGCACTGAGTTCTGAATCAGGTTACGCACCTATTGAAAACCCCTAATGTCTTCCTCTTAAATGTAACCTGGCCTGCCTGTGGTCACACCACCCTGAACATGCCCAATCTCCTCTGAATGTAACCTGCCCTATCATACTTACTGCCTGAATCCACCTTTGGATAAGGCCTCTGAAGAGAAATACTGGTATGATTATCAGGGTTACTAAACTTCAGCTCTACCCACCTTAATGTTCTTTAAATCATACCATTCCTTCCTTTCCTCAAGACCTTTACACTTCATGTCTTTTTGCCTGAAATGCTTTCCCTGACTTCTTCATATGACTGACTCCTGGTCTCAACTGGAATACCACCTCAGGAGCTTTAACTGTCTGAAAGACACAGCATTTCTAATCACTCTTAGCACACCCACAACACTAATGTATTTTCCTTTATAGCACTTAGCATTTTCTGGAATTGGTTCATTGTATGGACTAGTTTTCCTTAACTACTATGTACAGACATTTTTATCACAAACATTAATCCCTAGCATCAAAATAGTGCCTAGCATCAGGTTTTGAACAAACCTGATGAAGGAATGGATCCAGGAATGACTTTAGGATCATTTAATTAGAAGATTGTCTTAGATTACACTATGGAATATCTCTACATTCATATCGAGGCCCCGCACTTCATCTGGACATCCTTAACCTTAAATCTTTTCCACTAATCCAAATCATGTTGTGTGGATATTTTACCCTTTTTAAAAATACTTATTTAATTATTTTTTAATCCTCACCCGAGGATATTTTTCCATTGATTTTCAAATAGAGCGGGAGGGAGGGAGAGAGAGAGAAACATTGATGTGAGAGAGAGACATCGATTGGTTGCCTCTCACACAATCCTGAGCAGGGCTGGGGACTGAACTGCAACCAAGGTACATGCCTTTAACTGGGTTCGAATCCATGGTTCTTTGGTCTGCATGCCGTGGCTCTAATCGCTGGCCAAGCTGGGCAGGGATGAATATTTCACCTTTGAACTAATTTTTTCATCAGATAGAGATAATACCTGTTTGGTCATAAGATCTTTGATAAAATTATTTTGTAAAGGTTAGCACATCAGGTAAAATGCAGTTTTAACAAATTGGTTTTTGGAAGCTTTCCTGATTTCCTAATTTAGGAGGGATTTCACTTTATAGTATTTATTGCCTTCTTATACATAATTTTATCTTGAATTTGTGTCTGTCTCACTGCCTAACTAATCTCAGGGACTGAATTATGTACATTTTTTTTCCTATAGCCCTAAACAAGATACTTTATAATTAGACTTTAAAATTAACTTGTTGGGCATAGGTATCTTCTTTGCTCTATAGGCAAAAGAGAATAGATAATTATGAAATGGAAAGTATATACAAAGAAATTTAAAATTAATGGGGAAGGAGGCATTGATCTTTATTAAGATATTTTATTCCTTGGTTACACAGAATAGCCCATTTCATTCTATAGACATACTTATACTTTGCTTTTTAGAAATTATTTAAGACTGCTTATATGATATATAGGCATACCTCATTTTATTGTGCTTCACAGATGTTATGTTTTTTTTTACAAATGGAAGGCAAGACACTCCACCAGCAAGCAAATTATAATTGCTTTATTGCAGTACTCACTTTATTTTAGTGGTCTGGAGCCAGACCTACAGTATCTCCAAGGTATGCCTGTACAGGTTACAGCAGCATGACTAACATCAAATAAGTCAAAGGACAAACAAGTATAGAGAATTAAAATTGAGCCCAGCTGGTGTGGCTCAGTGACATAGCGTTGACCCATGCACCAAGAGGTCATGGGTTTGATTCCCAGTCAGGGAACATGTCCAGGTTGTGGGCCCAATCCCCAGTGGGGGGCATGCAGGAGGCAGCCAGTCGATGTTCTCTCTCGTCGATGTTTCATTCTCTCCCTCTCTCTCCCTTCCCCTCTCTCTCAAATCAATAGAGAAAAAAAAAAGATTGACTAGGAATAAGGCTAATATAAATAAACATCCTTGAATGCTTGTTATAGTAGACTATACATTTCTCACTTTGAGAATTCTAATAACCAGTTTAGATGGAGAAATGTATGAATTGTATAGTTCAGTGTTCAGTCTAGAATCATCAATTCTTGGTGCTTTGTTTTAATGATATGAACTTCAAATGAATAATTTCCATTCTCAGGGTTAGTGATAAGATCTTGATACCATTTGAATTGTACAGCTGTGTCTGGTTTTTGAATTAAGTTGGAGAATTAGTGATATGAAAAATCTTCTATGTTTTCTAAAAACAAAAGTAACAACTGGGGTTTCTTTGTGTTTTTTTAATTCCTCACCTGAAGACATTTCCCCAATTATTATCAGAGAGAGTGGGAGAGGAGGGAAAGGAGAGAGAGACAGACAGAGAAAAACATCAATGTGATAGAGCCACATGGACTGGTTGCCTCCCACATGACCCAGCCACGGCCAGGGACGAACCATAGCCGAGGCACATGCCCTTGACTGGAACTGAACCCACGACTCATTGGTCCATGGGCTGATGCTCTTTCCACTGAGCCAAACCAGCCAGGGCATCAACTGTTTTTGTTTTGTTTTGTTTTTTGACCAGCATAACTATGTAAATATTTTGAAAATGTTAATACTTAAGTGCCAGCTGAAGCTTTATAATATATATTATAACGTCTTAAAACTCATTCTATCTTATAGAAAGGCTGTTATTGGCTTTAATGCATTATTATCAAAATTCTTTTTTTTTTTAAAGGTATTGTCCTTCCTGTAAAACTGATTCCAGTGAAGTTGTAAAGGCTGGTGAAAAACTTAAGATGAGTAAAAAGAAAGCAAAGATGCCATCAGCTAGTACCGAAAGCCGGAGAGATTGGGGCAGGGTAAAGAAAATATTCTTCTTTTCTGCCTAGTTAGAATATTTATAACTAATGCAAATTATAATGTTTTAATAACAATAGTAGTAAAGGTATAAATGGCACTGTAAATGTCAGAAATATTAAATAACTATGTTGTTTAATGATATTGTTAATTTATAATTGTTATTCTTAATTGAATTTAATCATAAATTGCTATATATTGTTAATCATATGAATAATGGGTTTCTATTTTATTCACATTTTGGGGATTTAAGGACTTTAAGATTTAACATAACTGATTTCTCAAACAGCTGTTCTGTGACTTGTAGGGAATGGCCTGTGTTGGTCGCACGAGAGAATGTACTATTGTTCCTTCTAATCATTATGGACCTATTCCTGGGATTCCTGTTGGATCAACTTGGAGATTTAGAGTTCAGGTATTTTTAAAATTGGCTTACTTGAAAGGGTAAAATTGAGTATAGTTCAAATTGTAAAAAATATCAGTGCGTGTTGATTATAAATGGACTAATCTAGATAGTATCACACAGTATTCATTTGTTAGAATGAAAGATTTTCTGTTGTGATGGATAGGTTCTTCCCCACAGCTGAACAGACAGAGGAACATGCAGAATGAAATTAGGCATCAGCTATGTCTTTTCATCATTTTGTTTTACTTTTCTATTACAGTTATGCTAGTTAACATTATTAGGTAAGCATTCTAAATAATTTTTGTTGCAAAGACTTTAATATTTGAAATACTAAATTTTTTTCTTTAAGTCACTTATGTGGTAAGTTCCCATCTAATGCCATTGAACTCCAAGAAAGCTCACTTTAGGTATTTTCTTTGGGGCTTATCTTGAATGATTAAGTTATTGATCAGAGGAACTGTCAGATAATTTCAGGATAAAATTACTTCTCTTTTCCCCCTGTATTTATTCCTGATTTCTTCTTTAAAAAGGTAATTTTATCATTATGGAAAACTTAATGTGGGGGGAAAAAAATCTTAGAACAGTTTTTAATTAGAGGATTTTGAACTTTAAATAAGAGTAGAATAATAAATTTTCTTTTCCTTACTAATTTGAGAGAGAGATATCAATTCATTCCACTTATCCATTCATTCATTGGTTGATTCTTGTTTGTGCTCTTACTGGGGATTAAACCAGCAACCCTGGCATATTGGGATAACACTCGAACCAGCTGAGCTACCTAGCCAGGGCCTAGAGTGGTAACATTTTAAAATAAAAATAATGTAATACATACACATAGCTTGAAAAGTTCAGTACTAGTGTATGACAAATTTTTTAAACTGACCCTTTTTATGTTTTTTGGTTTTTTTATCCTCACCTGAGGACACTTTATGCATTCATCTTCAGATAGAGCGAGAGGGAGAGAGGGAGGAAGAGAGAAAGAGAGAAACAACAATGTGAGAGAGACACATTGATTGGCTGCCACCCACACAACCCCACCCAGGGCCGGGGACAAGCTGCAACTGAGGTGCGTGCCCTTAGCGGGAACTGAACCCGGATCTCTCTGGACCGCAGGCCGACTCTCTAACCGCTGAGCCAAACCGGCCAGGGTTAAAACTGACCCTTTTTTTGTCCCCATTTTCTGTTGGTCAGAAACAACAATTTTAACATTTTAGTTGTTTTCTTTTGGATTTACCTCATTTCTAACTGATGTGTTTAAACTGCTTTTGTCTTTATATATTAGTTTTATTACCTTCCTTCTAAAGAGGATGGACATTAGTTTAACACACTTTGTCCTCCCATCCTTGCAATAGTTAAAATAATTTTGGCTAAATTCGTGTTTGAGGTTTGTACTCTTATGACTTTGGACAAATAAATACAATATAATAAAATATAGTAAGAAAAAAAATACACTGTATTTTTAATTGTCTTGTTTTTTATTTGCTTTGTTTTTTGTTTTGTTCTTTGTATACCTGTCAGTAATGCATTCCCAAGCTCAAAAAGCCCCATTATTATGATCTAAGATGATTTTAAGGTTGTTGGCCTGAACAACTAGAAGGATAAATTTGCCATTTAGGAAGTGGGGAAGATTCAGAACAGATGTATTTTTTTCAGGATTGGTGAGGTTGGGAATCAAGTGGTCCTATCTTCTGAATTACCTGGTGTTTATCCAAGGACTAAATCCAGGTTCTGCTGCCCTTACCAGCTTCTCATGGGCTTCTAATGTGCCCCTTTCCCTAGCCCACTATTCAGGCATGGATTTCAGCTTCTTCTTCTCTCCTAAGAATACTTGTATGTTAAGCAGATGAATTACAGTACTTTTCTCAAGGAGTTTAAAGTACACAAAATAAGTTGACATTTATTTTAGTGAGCCAGATTTGAAGGTATGTGGGGAAAGTAATTGGCCACTGAAGAAGTAGAATAGCATGAGTAAAATAAGAGAACGGGTAGCATGTTTGTGTAACCTTGAGTAGTTTGGGTTCAAACATAGAGGCTCCATGAAGGAGAAGCTAGAGATAAGGAAATAGGAACCACACTGAGAGAGGATAATGTGTAGTACTTAACTTGGGTTACATAGACTGGCTATCAGACCATTTAATATATTTTAAGCAGATTTCTGCTTAAAAGGATCATTCTGTTTGTGGTGGGTAGAATGGGTTTAAAGCAGTGGTTCTTAACCTTCCTAATGCAGTGACCCTTTAATACAGTTCCTCATGTTGTGGTAACCCCCAACCATAAAATTATTTTTGTTGCTACTTCATAACTGTAATTTTGCTACTGTTATGAATTGCCATCGGAAATAGGTGTTTTCAGATGGTCTTAGGCAACCCCTGTGAAAGGGTCGTTCGACCCCCAAAGGGGTCACGACCCACAGGTTGAGAACTGCTGGTTTAAAGGAATAAAACAAAGTGGTGAAATAGGGTCTACTTTAAGCATTTACAGCCATGGAAGGAGAAAAAGATAAATTTGGGAGATCGAATCAGCAGTACTTGTGACCAAGTAAATGGGTTTGAACAGTAAAAGAGAAGAATGAGGCTAAAATGACTTGCCATTTTCACATGGCTAGGGAGCAGTGCCATAATCAAAGACAAGAAATAAGAAGGGAAGAGATTTGTAGCACTGATAGTAAATTCTTGTTTACCCAATTTGAGCTGTTATTAGCAGTAGACCAAAAAAAAAAAAAATTATTATTTAATGGTTATTTTGAAACTCAGAATTCTAAGCCTGGGCACTTTTAAGAGTCATCAGCTTAGTGCCTAAGGGATATAGTTGGGGAGACATAAAGTCGGTAAGCAAAAGTAGAACTCTGGGTGACATGCAGTTCTTAGTTGGAGGCCTTTCGGGTCCAGTGGTATATGTGAAAGCATTTTGTAAATGTAACTTAACTAACTGTTCAAAGGTATTTTGAGGCTCTGTTTATTTTATAGGTGAGCGAAGCAGGTGTACATAGGCCCCATGTTGGTGGAATTCATGGTCGAAGTAATGATGGGGCTTATTCTCTTGTCCTGGCTGGTGGATTTGCAGATGAAGTAGTAAGTCATGATACAGCCTTGTACTTTAGAACCTGTCTTGACATTCAGTAAAATACAGAAGTTTTTTCTAGGGTCTGTCAAATCCTATCTCTTTTTAGTGTAATGTTTATGTTAAAGTGGTCAGTTTTATGCAAGTTATAAGGTAAATCAGTTGGCAGTATTTAATCTTTGTATTGTTTTGATTTATATATATATATATGGTTACTGATTATTGCAATGAAGATACATTCTCTGTAGAGCTCATTTTTAAAATTAAACTTAATGATTTGGGGATAATTGTAGATTGAAATGTAGCATTAAAAACAGTACAGAGATCTTTGTGCCCTTTACCCATTTTCCCTCAATGGCACCATGTACAAAGTTATAGAGCAGTATCACAGCTAGGATATTGATGTGATACATTCAAGACACTGAACATTTATTTTCTTTACCACATGGATCCCTCATGTTGCCCTTTTATAGCCATACATTCTATATCCACGCCCCCAAAGCCTTCTTAACCCCTGGCACCCACTAATCTGTTCTCCATTTCTAAAATTTTGTTGCTTCAAAAATCTTTATAAATGGAATCATATACTATGTAACCTTTGAAAATGGCTTTTTTTTTTTTTGCTCAGCATAATTCTCAAATTATGGCATGTATCAATAGTTCATTGCTTTTTACTGCTGAGTAGTAGTCTGTGATATAGGTATATTGTAGTTTAACCATTCACCTCTGGAAGAACATCTGGATTATTTTCAGTGTTTTTCTATTGTGAATAAAGCTGCAATAAACATTTGTGTACAGGTTTGTTTTATTTATTTATATTGGCATAAGTCTCCAATTCTCTGGTATAAATGCCCAGAAGTACAGTTTCTGGGTTGTATGCTAGTTGACATGCATATTTTGAAGCTATATCTTTCTTTTTTTTTTTTAGTACTCACCTGAGGATATTTTTCCATTGATATTTCAAATAGAGTGGGAGGGAGGGAGGGAGGGGGGAGGGGGAAGAGAGAGAGAGAGACATTGATGTGGGAGAGACACATTGACTACTTACCTCCCCCATGACCCCAGCCATTGTGGGAGATTGAATTGCAACCAAGGCATGTCCCTTGACTGGAATTGAGCCCACAATTCTTTGGTCCACAGGCCGATGCTCTAACTGCTGAGCCAAACTAGCCAGAGCTAAAGCTGTATCTTTTAAGTATTTTTCAGAAATACAAAGAATGTTATATAGCTTATTAAAATCAGCACTTAGAATTTTTTAAGGCTCTGTAAGAAAACAAACCAACTAAAATGAAGTCTCTCTAACATGTTTTTAGCAACCAGTTGTTTTGATCTGGGCTCTGACATTTGTGTGTGAGATCTTGGCCAAATTATTTAACTCCAGTAAACCTCAGTTTCCCCATGTATAAAATAGAAAAAAAAAATAGTAAAATTTTATATCAGAAAGTTATGGATTTTAAATGTAGTAATTTATGTAGTCCTGAGTATATGACAAGGATTCAGACGGTTCTATGGTCTGAATCAAAAGCTTATCTTAAGTATATGAAACTTATAATCATGTCATGTTAAAACTAAAAATGAGTACCATGTTGAAGTTAGATGTGTGTTACTACTTCCTTTTTTTCATCTTTTGAATATATTTACTAGTCAGACATTAAACATTTGTGGAGAAAAGTGCTAATGAGGTGTCTTAAGCCATTAATTCTTAGTCTGTGAAATAATGTAAAGAATCATATATTTAGGCTTAGATTGCCAACTAAGACGTATCTGGAGATGTTATATCTTGTAAGTGTTTACAATCTTTTGATCTTTTATTGTAGGCAGATCATATCTACAGAAATAGGTGGAGGAAGCCTGGATAAACTTTTCTCATTCAAGAAAAAAAAATTGTTCTGAAACCTTTACTTTGGTATAATATTCATAGAGCCAGTGATTTTTGCTTTAATTGGATGAGTGGACATGAAACTATTGAATACCTGCTGATAAAGTGGTTAACATTTTAGTCTAGTAACTTGAGAATTAATCAAATGCTAGCTTGGTGCCTTGCGTTTGATTACCTCACTTGAGAAATGAAGACCTGACCCACAAAGATGATCTGCTCTTTAGAGGTGTCCAGAGAAGTAGTTTACTCAATGATCAGGGACAAACTCTGGAGCCAAGCTGTTTGGGTTGGTGTCCTGGTGCCATCTCTTACTGGCTGTGTGACCAGGCAAGTTACTGAGCCCCTCTGCTTCATCTATAAAATAGGGCTTATAAGACTACCTCATAGGGTTGATATGAGAGTTAAATGAATGAATTATATGTAAAATGCTTAGCTTAGCCTAACCTTCACACACAGTAAGTGCTATGTAGGTATTATCAGTAGTAGTGGTAGTACCCAGTTTTGCTGGCCTGAGAAGGGTATTAGGAAAGAGAAACTGGTAAAAATTGAGGCTATGTTTTAGATAGCCTTGAATTAAGGAATCATTAAAGGTATATGGGAAAAGTTTAATGATTTTAATTGTGCTTTAGGATATTTATCTGATAGTCTTGTGGGGGGATGGGTAAAAAGATTGAGATTAAAATCTTTTGCTTGATGAGAGTGATGGCAGGAATGGGAGCACCCAGCTTATTGTGTTAGGCAGCTGCTTTATAACTTGGGACAAGAGTAGAGATTGGGAAATCATGGGAAATGCAGTCACTCTGGGACAGCACTACAGCCCCTGTGTAGATGATGGCTTTTTGTGAGCTTTTCAACATTAAAAAAATGTTGTTTAAGCTACTGCCTCACAGGGGTACTACTGAGTAGGCATGGACTATAAAAAGGCAACAAATTTAGGCTGACAGTTTTCAGGGGGAAAATACTTTGAAATAATATTGACTGAGCTCAGACACTGTGGCAGTATTTCCCCCAGTGATAATTAAAAGTTTTCACTGGCATAAAGGTTAAAATATGGATGAGTTAATAACAGAATTTTAACTATTTTTACTTGATGATTAGCTTCTTAAAGAAGAATCAGAAGTTTTTGTTCTTCTGTTTTAAACACTTTAGCTTAGGTTTCCCCCCCTTAGGCTCTCCTACTTCCCACTACTTTTTTTTTTTTTATAACACTATCACACTTATAACTTTAAAAGTTGATAAGGTTATGACTATGAGCTTGTGAAGTCAATCCAGATATCATTTGGAAAACTTTCTAGTCAATTTAAGAAGTGTTCTGGACTGTTCGGGTGTACTTACTTATTTGAATTTCTTCAAATGACATATACACTAAAGATGAAATTTCTTAATGCCTCTTCTTTAAAATATAGACCTTCATAATGGTTCACCAATAGGTGAATTCAAGGTTTTTAGACAGATTATTAAAACCATGAGATTTTAGTTATGACTTTCATACCAGAGGAAAAACAAGATGCAAAATAATTGACTTTTATTACAAGTAAGAATTTAGTAGAGAAAACGTCATTATCTTAAGTTCAGTCTGAAGTAATTAATTTAAATTACTTTAATTGCATTAAAGATAATTAATTTGTATACTGATAGTTACTTTTCTCAATTTACTTTAAACACTAGTAGAAATGCAATATCGATATAAATTTATAGCCACTACAGAAAAACTTATGGAGCCTCGTTTACCTACCATCTACTTCTTTTGGCATTTTTTTTCACATTTGGTAGACACTTTATACAGCTTAATAATAGGTAATTATTTTCCCTGAATGTAATGTGAGTGAATTCATAGAGTGCGAAATGTAGAGAACTCACGGTGCTTTTAGGATTTTAAAGTGGAAATTTAGTGGCAGACTTGGGTGTAGATTGCTGTCAGGAAATCTGTTATGAAATATTTTTAAAATGGTAAACTTCATAAATAAGTTTATTTTAATAATACTGAATTAAATGAAACAAAATTCTCAACCCATAAGAGCTAATTTTCTAACATTCCACAGATTATGATTTTACACACACACGCACACACACTCACGCACACACACAATGAAAATAGCCCTGTTTAGAAGTGTATAACTTTAAAATGAAATCTTTGTAAGTTAAAGGTATACAGCACATAAGATTGCATTTGAATTGGCCTTATTTTGGTAGATACCTTGACAGAACATGTCAGTTTACAACATCCTAACCAAATTCTGACTCTGAAACAAGAATTAATGAAATTATACTTGGGTTTAGGTGTCTTAATGATGAAAAATCTTCTCCTGCAGGACCGAGGTGATGAATTCACATACACCGGGAGTGGTGGTAAAAACCTTGCTGGTAATAAAAGAATTGGTGCACCATCGGCTGATCAAACATTAACAAATATGAACAGGTACTCTTTATTGTTAGAGTTTGTAAAGACTATTTAGAATATGGATTTTGTATAAATGTTTGATTATAGGACTATAATTTATAACTTAGACTGTAGAGGAGAATCTTGCATTGAAAGTTAAAGATCTAAACTTAAAATCCCATTACCCAATTATATAATTATTTGCATCCTAACTTATTTCTTCAAATTATTTTTAAAAGGACGTAATTCCCAGTTTTAGTAAATGTACTTTGCATTTGAAAACATGTTGAATTTTTTGAAAGAAAGGAGCCTATATAATTGAAGTAAAATTGAGGACAAGATGGCTTATCTACTACCCCACAGATCAAAGTTATATTCTACTCAACACAAGATTTATCTTTTTTTTTTTTTTTTTTAAGCTTTTTAAAATTGATTTTAGAGAGATGGGGAGAGAGAGAAAAACATCTATCAGCTGCCTTCTGCATGCCCCCTACTGGGGATCAAACCCGAAACCAGGCATGTGCATTGACCAGGAATTGAACCAGCAACCTTTTGGTGCATGGGACAACACCCAGTCATCTGAGCCACTCTGGCTCAGGCCATAGATTTATCTTTTAAAGTGACAAAGTTATTTTTAGTAGAAACACACTGATGTGGAACAGGGTTATGTTTAGGAACCACATTTATGTATATAAATAACACATCACATAACTTAATCAGAACTACACTTAAGGTGTTTTTATGATTTATAATAAGATTCTTTAAATGTTATAAGAAAATGCTTAGTGACATAAGTGACCTTTTTAAACTAAATACTTATAAGCCATTACAAAAAGTCATCATATGTTGTTCTTGATTCTATAGAAGTATTAATGACATTCCAGCTTCCGTGGAAACAGAAAATTTAATAACTTCAAAATGATGTCTTTTATAAATGCATACTAATATCAATAATAATATATTAAGTAACCCAAATCATCAGCTAGCAATGACTACATTATAACTTGTCATACTGATAATTTATCATCATTTCATAGTTTAAATTTTTGTATTCTATAATAAGGGTATGTGGGTTATTGAGTAAAAGTGAGTTTGTTTGTTTTTGCTTCCTTGAGTCTAAATCACACGGTTTTAAGTAGTGTGCCCAAAATTTCTGATTACCTTGTAAAGTAAAGAATATACCAGTATGATTTCAAGACTTTGTTGCATACCAAGTTGTATAGACTCTGTTTTCATGTCTTCCTTCTATATTATTTCTGACAGTAGGATTATTTTACTGAACCAGCAGAGGAGACAGGTCAGCTTTGCTGGTGAAAACATTCCCGAGGCAGGAGTCCAGGCACTAGCTAGTCATTTTCTAGCAAGGTAGCAGCTCTTTAGCAGTGATCTTAAAAGGAATTAGAAGTATTTTGATGTGTTTTTGTTGATGAAAATGTATCTTGTATTTGCAAAGGGCTATTCCAGGTTGTCAGATCTGAAAATTACATTTTCCCCTTTAATACTAGATAATTGTGCTCGAATGGAACTTGTCGTAACTACCTGCACTTGAAATGTACACCGTAGTTCTTTTCAAGCCTTTGAAGAATCTAATAAGCATACACTGTTTACATTGTTATATAATCTCATTACAGAATAATTGACAAATAGTAAAAATGTTTTAAAAGGAAGGTAGTGAAAATGAAATATGAACTCAAACACTTTAGGATTGATATATCCTAAAGACTCTAACATCCATTCAGTTAATTTATACATTAAGCTGTGAGTACACCTTGTGATTGATTGTAAAGACCTCTTGGGCATAGGTACCTATATGTTTTAAACATGAAAACTGAGGTGAAAGGCCCTTAGCTCTGACTGACAGTATACTCCTTTCTGACTGGTATATAGTCCAATTCATTTTTGCTTCTCTGCTAAGAGGTAGTTAGATACCTGCCTTTTTCTTTTGAGAAATTTGTTTCTATTTCTTCTTAGCTCTTCCACTTTATGAAACTGAAAAGGACAGCAAGGTAACCTGCCTGCCCTTTATCGGGGCAGTTAGAGGCAATTGATTGAGTAGTGGATCAAGTAATGAAAGAACCTTATTGTTTTGGTTAGTTTCATCTTCTTAGACTCTTTTCACATATTTGACAGCCTGAATACTTATGTGACGCTAGAAGTGAGTTAATGCCAGCTAGTGGTGGCAGTCATGACTGAAGGAACCTGTGAGCACAGGTGTATTCCACTCATTAACACGAAGATAGTATCTATCCTTATGCTGGCTCTAAGAAGACGAAGTATGTATTGAGATAGATATTTCGTAAAGATGTAATACTAGCCCAGTGCTTTCCTCTATCTCCCAGAGTTTTAATACATCTTCCTTTGAGAAAAAAGGATAACTTGGTAAGCTTTAACTCTTTGGCCATATCTATAAAAGTTTTGTTTTTTTAAGAAACACTTTCTTAAGTTCATTTACTTTAACAATATGAACTATGATCGATATATTTCTTTTTGGTTTTTTATTAAGATATTTCACCAGACTAGTCATTTAGTCTTAAGGCCTATTTTTCGAGCCTGCATATAGAGAACTATACCCTGAACAAATATTTTGTGTCATATCTGATCTCATCAGATTGTATGTGTATATATTTTAGTCCTTGTATGTTCTCAGTGGTTCCTTTTCACCTAAGTTAGGAATTAGGTGTCTTAGAGGAAAAATACTAATTTTAAATAGATTCTAGTCTGATCTTTTTTTTTTTCCTCCAGGCAGGACTAAGCTCCCAAGAAAGGTCTTTTAACATCTAATAACCTTACTGATTAATTATTACTAAGTGAGTACACATACTAAAGAAGCATTAGCTCAATTAGGTGCTGCTTCCAGCTCAGTGTTCCTCCTCGTTCATATGTCATCAGTAAAATGCAGTGATCTTGAGCAGCCAGAAATCTTTGTTGTCATGATTTAGCACAGACATTTGAATGCGTCAGTTTTATTTAAGCATGTCTTTTTACTGGAGGTCTTTAAAGGATAGTCACATACTGAACTTGTTCTTAATATCTTCTGAACTTTAAGGAATCCCTGTTGTCTGGAATATGGAAAGTGGGCCTAGAGAGGTCATTTGTACCTTGCTGACAAATTTATTTTTCTGGATTTCTTTCTACATTATTCCAGCAATTTACCTCACTCCCATATCAAAAATAACTATTACAACAATCACTTGCTTTAGTTTACCAACTTTTCCCTTCCCTCAACAAACGTTATTTAAAGAAAATTCCGTGTATTTCTAGTTGTTTTCTATTATACGTGGCACAGATGTTATTACTTTCAGAAGAACCCTACAGGCTATCTGAGAACCAATCCCCTGGCTTGGGGGTGACATCAGAAAACTGATTTGTCTTCTCTGCTGGTGGGGGAAAGCATAATCCTATTATCTGGAATAATATGGAAAGAATCATAGAATCTTAACCATCAGGTAAGGCATAATTCACCTTTTAATTGAGCTAATGATGCGATTATATACTTGAAGAAAGATTACTTGGTATAAAGACTTTGTTTTATTTTTTAGGGCATTGGCCCTAAACTGTGATGCTCCATTGGATGATAAAATTGGAGCAGAATCTCGGAATTGGAGAGCTGGTAAGCCAGTCAGAGTGATACGCAGTTTTAAAGGGAGGAAGATCAGCAAATATGCTCCTGAAGAAGGCAACAGATATGATGGCATTTATAAGGTGCTCTATCTGGCATGACCTCTTGTTAGTCACTCTTCCCGGGCTTTCAGGACAGGGTTGCCAGAGGGAACTGGACTCTCCGTGGGTGGGCTGGAGGAAGCAGTAGACCATCTTAGTCGGTATTTGTTTTTTTCTGGAAATAGAACAGACACACAAAGTGAGCTCTTAACTTTGATACTTTTATGGCTAATTTCAAATCCATAAGGGCAGAACTATATTTTGGGGTAAGCTTTTTATAAGTATATTCTGTGTGATGAAGCCATTTAAATAACTTGGCCACTGTAGATCTTGATTCTTATATATCTTTCAGAATGATTTTAATTGCGAAAGATTTTCAAGCAGAGCACATTATAATTTTTAAAATAGGTTGTATTCTTTGTTTAAAACACTGGCATCTTCTGTCACCATTTCTATTTACTATTATGCAAAATTCTATTAATGAGCATAATCTTGTTAGTATTTCAAATTTATAGCAATTTATACTTATTTGGGGAAGTATCTTAAGAAATATGGTCAAAATAATATTTTGGTGAATATTCTTTATTACAGCAAAACAAGTACCTTTTGAAGTTGCATTTAGTTTGGCAAGTTTAAACCACTAATATAATGACATTATGAATAAATTTAAATCTCAAACTAGTACTGAAATATTATGATTTAGGTGGTGAAATACTGGCCAGAGATTTCATCAAGCCACGGATTCTTGGTTTGGCGCTATCTTTTAAGAAGAGATGATGTTGAACCTGCTCCTTGGACCTCAGAAGGAATAGAACGGTCAAGGAGATTATGCCTACGTTTACAGGTTAGATTGCATTTGTCTAGGCTACTTGCATATTCATAAAAACGTACACATCTACTATCAACGTGCCTTAACACTGGATATAACCCACAGCAGTTGATCAGTGGATGGTAAGGGGTGAGAATGAGATCGTGCAAGTATACAGAAGGAAAGGCAGTAAAAGATAGCATCCTAGGTGTCAAAGTGCCCTCAGACCAAGAATTGTGCTTGGGAAAAATTGGGCTGGTCATTGAAAAATAAAGTATTTCCAACTCAATATGGAAATGATTTGAAGTATGAGGGGAAAAGATACATAAAATTAGGTATAGGAAACCTTGAGAAGGGAAGTGTATCCTAGATGGCACAGGGGGTGTGTCTCTGGTAAGGGAAGGGGGGAGGTGGCTTATAAGAGTGGTCTGCTTCCTACCCTTCTCACTTTTCCTCACCCCTTTTCTCTCTTCCCCCTCAAAGCTGCTTCCCTGTCCTGTCACCACCTTTAGTGTTGTGCCTTTTTTTTCCCTTTGCCCATGCTCAGCTGTTAACCCATATAAGACTTTGTTGGTTTTGTGCGCATAGTGGATGATATGGCTACATTCCCCCTCCCCTGCCTAGACTTTGTCCCTGACACTGACTTCAGAGCATGGTTTGAGTTCACCCGCCATCATTCCCCATTGCTGTGCTTTCCTTAAAGACTACCAGCTTTGTCATTTTCCCTGGCTCTGCCCACACTGCATGTGTAGGGGCTGAACTATGGGCAAGTGTCTGACCACCCAGGCAGGTGAGTGTGTGTCTTTTAGTGCAAGTCTGTTTCTGTTTTTGTTTTCTTTTAAAATTTGTAGAATTGATTGTTTAAATGAGACTCATCAGCTGCTAAAATAACTGCCAAAATACAGTTGACCCTTGAACAACACGGGGGTTAGGGGCATCAACCTCCGTGCAATCGAAAAGACATGTAAAACTTTGTATTTTCCACAAAACTTAAGTACTACTAACCTACTGTTGACCAGAAAGAAACCTTACTGATAACATTAACAGACTATTGACACATATTTTGTATGTTATTAACTATATTCTTACAGTAAACTAGAGAAAAGAAAAATGTAAGGAAGAGAAAAACTTTTACAATACTGTATTATATTGTTACTTTAAGTTTATGTCATCTGTTTATAAGATGAATTATCTGTTAGTACCTACATCATTATTGTTTTATATGATACAAAACACTAGATATTATATGTATTACTAATAATAGTCATGAAAAATAAAAAGGTAATATGAAAAATTCATATTTATAGGTACAACAATTCATGTAATAAAATCTCCAAAAGATTTTTTCAGTTATATTTATTGAAAATAATTTGCATATAAGTGGACCCAAACAAGTCAAACCTGGGTTGTTCAAGGGTCAACTCTGATTCTTTTTGTAACTGATATTAATTAAAAAACCTTTTGTTAAATCCATTTTTAAAATACTTTTTCAGATCCACTGTTCATCAAAGAATGTTATAAATAGGTTAGACATGAAACTGAGGGGAAGCTTATAAGCCTGTCTACTATGATGAGTTAATGTGTCATTGATGAGGCCTGAAACATACTGAGTTTTAAACATGTGTTATCACAAAGCATGCCCTGCCCCAAAAGGTAGCCAGTAAAACACAAACATAACAGGTAGAATTTATTCCTTAAATTCTGACCTTTGGCTCATAATTCAGTGATTTAGTGGCATTAAGTCTTCTAAGAGCTTTTATCCCCCCCCCCCCCCCAATTTTGAGAGAGAAGAAATTTAGCCCTTAATGTTTTGAGGGAAGGGTGTTTTGTCTTTAAGAATGGCCCCACAATTTAGTGTAATCCCATCTACGTGAGTATCATCTGTTGTGCTCTGGTTGATCTTCACTTATCTTCACATCAAGATTCCACTTTCTTCCTCAAAATTTTCAAGCCACCTAGTCACAACTCCTGTAAACTTATCTTTCCTGTTTTAGATCTGAAACTAAGATCATTGTATAATAAAGTGGAATTTCTTAACAATAAAAAAAAACTACATGGTTTTACACTGAATTTGGGATTTTAATAGTTTCTTTTGGGATTTGAATTTGTTTCTTTTAATTGTCTGTTTTCTTTATATAAAGTCATTCCATTAGGGAAAATGTAGGCTCCTCCTCCCTCCCCTTTTAAAATTTCTCACCAGTATCTAGAACTTCCCTTCTCTGTAAAGCTTAAGTCTGCATTATACTCTTTCCCCTCATCAGTATCCAGTAGGTTACCCTTCAGATAAAGAGGGGAAGAAGACTAAAGGACAGTCCAAGAAGCAGGCCAGTGGAGCCTCAAAGAGGCCAGCTCCAGATGATGGTAGGTAATAATTACAGAAAACATATCGTAATAACATAGTTTCTAATAAAGAAAAATATTAAAAGACTACATTGAGAAACTCATAAGAAATTAAAAGCCAAGTGAGGAGGGGTTTTTGTCGTTGTGTGGTGGGGGGCGTATTTTTATTGTATTTTGATGGTGTCAGAACCAAAACAGCAGTCAATGTAGTAGTATCCTACACTCCAGGGAAAGTTAGATGCTGTTTTATGCAGGTTATCTTCATGCTAAACATTACTGGCACCAGTAACTCATGTTTCATAGTTCTGCTTAGAACCACTTGTAAGTCTTCTGGTATATTTTTAAATAAATCTAGACGACTGTGCAAGTGCCTCCAAAGTGTTGAAAACATCAGATTCAGCAGAAGCAGTTGAGGCTTTCCAGCTAACCCCTCAACAACAGCGTCTGATCAGAGAAGATCATCAAAACCAGAAGCTGTGGGATGAAGTGCTTGCACATCTTGTGGAAGGACCAGTATGTAAAGATTTTTTTCCCATTATAATTACATGCCTTTAATTTGTTTTTTAACTTTATTTTTAAGTATAGTTGACATACAATATTATATTAGTGTCAGGTGTAGAAAATGGTGATTAGACATCAAGTTGGTCAAAACTTGATCCTTGAATCTTTTCATTCTGTGCCTTCAGTTTTCAGAAACAGTCTGAGGCAGTACTTAAATGCTTTTCAATTTATTTTAGACCTCTTTGATACTGGTTTTTAACCTCTCTGTGCATGAACTTAAAAATTTATGTTGAGGTTACTTTTCATGGGAAGAATTTTCAGTTGTGGAACATACTCAGCTTAATCTAAAACGCATCAGGAAAGTTTTTGTTACCTGATAGCATAAGGCTTAAGCAATTCAGCACAATCGGAATGCCTGCGTGTTCAACCTAGGGGTAAATCAACCAGCATTGATATGTTTAAATACTTGATATGTTTTGGGTTTTAGGTTTTTTGTGTTTTTTTTTATAATCATAAAATTTTTAAATGAAAAAGAATTGCAAAATTAACTGATGTGTGGATTTTTTATGAAGTCGTGTTTTACAAACAAAGCTTCTTATCAGATCCCCAAAACTTAGAGGATTTTTTTTTTTAAGCTTAGAGGATTTAAATATGAATTGTCTACTCATTCCTTGCTTGCTCACTTGTTTTTATTGTCTTTAATTTTGCCTATAAATTCAAACCTTCTATTTCATTAGATATTAACCCCTTGTTTTGTGTAATATGGTTATTTTTTTGTTGTTTTTTCCCTCCAAATTATTGTGAAGTGCAGCTACTGGTGTTGACCTGTAGAATCCTCTCTTGAAATTCCATCTTGTCATCTTGTAGTAATTTCTTCCTTCTGATACTTATTTTATTTCTTTCTGCATCAGCTAAAACTTTTAATGTATCTGAAATGGGGTCATTGAATATCTATATGTGCTTTCTATCTATATTTAAAGGGAACTCTCATAGAGTTTTTATATTACTTTGTTTCAGAAATAGTCATAATTATCGTTGACTACCCCTTCTAAAGTAGCCATGCTTTACTCTGTTGCTTTAATTTGCTTTGTTACTTTAGTTATTACTATCTGAAATTGAATTTTTTTCCGTCAGTTTGTTCTCCTAAAGGAATATAAAGTTTCATGAAAGCAGAGACTTGCTATATAGATGAGTGCCTAGCACATTGCAAAACTCAGAAGAGCCCTGGCCGGTTTTGCTCAGCGGTTAGAGCATCGGCCTGCGGTCCCGAGAGACCCGGGTTCGGTTCCCGCTAAGGGCATGTACCTCGGTTGCAGTTTGTCCCCGCCCCTGGTTGGTCGTGCGGGTGGCAGCCACTCGATGTGTCCCTTTCACATCGATGTTTCTCTCTCTCTCTCTCTCTCCCTCCCGCTCTACCTGAACAAAAAATGTCCTCGGGTGAGGATAAAAAAAAAAAAAACAACAACTCAGAAGACCTCTAGTACATATTATAGGCACCATGGAGGTACCAGGGAAATATCAGTCATTTAAAAAGGCATTTGTCACCCTGGCCAGTTTGGCTCAGTGGTTAGACTGTTAGCCTGAGAACCAAAGGGTCCCCCGGTCAAGGGCACGTACCTGGGTCTCAGGTTCTATCTTCAGCCTCAGATAGGGACCAGCAGGATACTACCAATCAATGTTCCTCCCTCCCTCCCTCCCTCACTCTCTTCCTTCCACTCTATCCAAAAATGGAAAAACAACCTCAAGTCAGGATTTAAAACAAACAAACAAAAAACGGCATTTCTCAGGGAGAGAGTACCTGGTATTAAATTTATAGTTTTAAACTGGTTTATTCTTTTTTTTTTTTCTTTATTTCTTTGAGAGAGAGAGGGGTGATTAGGCCCACCCACAACCTGAGCATGTGCCCTGACCGGGAATAGAACTGGTGACCTGTTGGTGCATGGGGTCAGTGCTCAACCACTGAGCCACACCGGCTGGGCTGGTTTATTCTTTTAATGTATTGCATAATGCTTTGCTGATAATTTACTTGACTTTTATAATCCATGTTTACTAATAAGTTAGTATCAAGACATAACTTTGAAATAGGACCTTTGATTTTCCTTTAATTGAGGTATAATTAATATAAAACATATTAGCTTCAGTGTATACAGCATAATGATTTGATATTGGTATATTGCAAACTACAATAAGTCTAGTTAACATCTGTCTCATGCATAGTTACAAAAAACTTTTTTCTTGTGATGAAAACCTTAAGATTTACTTTTTTAGCTACTTTCAACTATGCAAGTCACTATGCTGCACATAACATCGCTACGAGTTATTTATTTTTTAACTGGAAGTTTACGCCTTTTGACTCTCTTCACCCATTTTGCCCCCCTACCACACCCCTGGCCGCCACCAATTTGACTTCTTTCTATATTTATGAGGTTACATTTGTTTGTTTAGATTCCACATATAAGTGAGATTGTATGATATTTGTCTTACACTTTAGGATTTGGGGTTTTTTATTTTTACTTGAAATTCTTGTAAAAACTACTTTTTCTATTAACATAAAGAACATAAAATACACTCCTTTACTGCCAAAAATAACTGAGTGCATTGTCCTGTGACTATTCAAAAAAAAAAAAGGCTTATCTTTCTAGTTTAAAAGAAACAAACAGCTTGGGTAAAATGGAACAAGTAATGGTTTGAAGAGTATAGAACACCCATTTGATCACATTTGCTTTCAGTGGCTCTACCTTTTATAATTTAGTCCCAATTTGAGTAAACACTAGCATCAGGGAAATAAGGGATTTGGGAGTTAAGGTGAAATATCACAGAAGATAATCCTAGGAAAATAAATATGTTGATTCTTTGGAGTCTTAGATATTAAACAGTATTATTGCCCAGTGCTTTTTTTCCCCTTTCTTTTAATCTTAAATATTCAAATTTTGTAGCAAAAGATTGAATAAAGAATACTTGTTCTCCCCCCCCCCCCCCCCCCCCCCCCAGTCACCACACTATTCTCCATGTCCATGAGCCGTAATTTTTTTAACAGTGAAAAATAATAACCTCTGGAATGTGAGATTGGGGTTGTGGGTGGAAACATTTACATTTTAATGCTATATATTTGACTTTGCAGCCTTTCTCAACCCAATCCTGAGATTTAAAACTAATGTGTATATCTTATAAAATTTTTTTTTCCATTTCTGTTATGTGTTTGCTAATCATTACAATCACTACTTGATTTTTTTTTTTAGTAGAAAATGTATTAAATATGACTAAGATACTTTTTAAAATTACTTGCTAACCTTTGTTTTCTTCCCTTTGGGTACCATCTAGAATTTCCTGAAAAAATTGGAACAATCTTTTATGTGTGTCTGCTGCCAGGAGCTAGTTTACCAGCCTGTGACAACAGATTGCCTCCACAATGTCTGTAAAGTAAGTAGAATTTCTTTCTCATTTTCCCTATTAGGCCAGAAGGCACACTAACCGCCCAGCCTGTTTTTAGCATGTGAAGAAGCATTTTTCCATAAAACAGAATAGTCATAGAACTTTGCCAGTTCAGAAGTACTTAATTACACCTTGGTGATAGATGCATGTTTTAATTAGATAGTAATAGTAATTCTAATATATATAGTTGAGGTATTCTATCGTGTTTGATGTTTTTGGAGAAGGGTAGAAATGGAGAAGAGAGAGTAAGGTGTCATTAGTGTTTACTATCTGGCAACATGCTCAGAGGAGTTGAATATTGTGTTATCAGTGTGGTGTGAAAGGAAAATTTGAGCTATAGTAAAAACAAGGTTGGAATCTGACTTTACTGCTTGGTAGTTGTGTGCCCTGACCTAACTTCCAAACTTTAGTTTCTATTGTAAAATGAAAACCTTCCACATGTGTGTCTGTGCCTTACCTTGAGCTAGTTAACTGTGTAATAAATTGAGTCCTTTTTAAATATATTTTTGGAAGACACATGATAACTTAAGTATTAGTTCTAAACAGGAGAATCCTGAATTTTTTTTTCTGTAGTACTCTATCAGAAAAGAACAGGATTAAAATCCAACCTAGAAGATGAGGCTAGTGAGGACCATAATCTTTAACACTGTCATTTTACTGGATGAGGAAATTAAAGCATACAAACGTTAAGTGATTTACCTGAAGTCTCACAGTATGTGCTAGAGCAGCGACTTTTAATCTGTGTACTGCAAGAATTTTTTTTTTTTATCACCTGAGGACATTTTTCTATTTTTTGTTCAGATAGAGTGGGAGGGAGAGAGAGAGAGAAACATCGAGTGGTTGCCACCCACACAACCCGACCAGGACTGGGGACAAACTGCAACCAAGGTACATGCCCTTAGCGGGAACCGAACCTGGGTCTCTCTGGACCGCAGGCTGACGCTCTAACTGCTGAGCCACACCGGCCAGGGCTTTGTACTGCAAGAATTTTTAAAACACACAAATAACTGAGTATTTGGTCAGGGACACTGACTTCTTTTCCCTTAGATTATCAAATAAAAAAATGACAACAGACAACACAATAGCCATAAGGTGTGAATACCCCTGTCTCGAACCATAAATATATAGGTCACATAGTAGAGTTGCATTTTATTGGTCATGTTGCATAATAAGGTTACGTCTGATTGGTTAATTCTTGGTACTAGAAATTCTTCTTTTTATCGTCACTTAAGGACATTTTTGCATTTATCTTCAGATAGAGCAGGAGGAAGAGAGAGAGAGAGAAACATCGATGGTGGAGAGACACATCAAATAGTTGCCACCCACACGGCCCCAACCAGGGCAGGGGACAAACTGCAACCGAGGTACATGCCCATAGAGGGAACCGAACCCGGGACTCTCTGGTCCGCGGGCTGAAGCTCTAACCGCTGAGCCAAACCAGCCAGGGTTAGAAATTCTTACATACAAGTATAGCCACCTGATTTTTTAAAGTCACTTTGGAGCAAAAGGGGTAGGCAATTACTATTACCTCTATTTCTTTTTACTAAATCAATCAAAATTATATGTATTTTTTATTAGATCCACAAAAAAACATATTTTTGGTGTACCACAGAATTTTAGAAATTAGTCTGTGTGCCAGGAGATTGAAAAGGCTGAAAATCACTGTGCCTAGAGGTAGAGCTAAAGCCATGTCTGTAGACCAGTGTGCATAGTATAGATTCAGGCCTTTTCTAGTTAGTCATCTTTTATATTTTTCTTGTTGCCAAACAGTACATTTCTAGTTCCTATTCAAAAGCATAAATTGTTGAGTACTTTTCTACATGCTCTGCACTCAGAGGAAATTGAGTGTATTTTTGGTGTTTTTTGTTGTGTTTTGCCTTAGGATTGTTTACAGCGTTCCTTTAAGGCTCAAGTTTTCTCCTGTCCCGCTTGCCGGCATGATCTTGGCCAGAATTACATCATGATTCCCAATGAAATTCTGCAGACTCTACTTGACCTTTTCTTCCCTGGCTACAGCAAAGGACGATGATTTGTCTACTTCCACTGTGTTGCTCCTGGTGATTTTTTTGGACAATAAAGAATCTAAAGTGGTTGGGGGTGGGTAGGGGTGGAAGCAATGGTGGACCATATCTCTCATGTTCTGAAGCAGCTAATCCTCTTTTCCTACATAGCCATCATCGTGTGTGTGTGTGTAGTAAGAGGCCCATTTCTCAACTGTCTTTTAAATATCAAAAGGTAGTTTCTGTCATTAACAACTAGTTGTAATGAGTAAAAGTTGAAACCTCAGCTCTAGTTGATATCCAAGTTATGATTTATTTTGCAACTACCTCAGGACAGAAAAGATTTATGGGGATTTTTTAAATCATTGAATAATTAGTTAAATGAAATTTTAGCTACACACTGCCTCCCCGATATTAGTTGTGCCTGGTTCATGTAATTTGATTTTACAGAAAAGGAAATGACACTTGAGATCATTGGAATGAACGCAGCTTCTGTAGTGTGCATAATACATTTTTAATATCTTCTTCCATTACAATGTGTGTTTTGCAAGAAAAAGTTCATTTTTTAGCCCATTTTGTGAGCTCCATTGTGCTTTTTTCTGGTGTTTTATGCAAGTTGACTACTAATGACTAATGAGAACAATATGAATGCATTATTGCTGCATTAGTGTAATGTGGTGTGGTTTTGCACTTAAAAGAGGTATTCGGATGCTCTAATTGTAAATGTTTATGAAAAGCCTCTTCTGTACTAGTCAAACTGCTTTTAGTGAGTCTCACCAGTGGTTTTACATCTGCAGAGCATTGAGGACTGGGCTGACTTTTGAGAGGGCTGAAATTGCTTCATATTGTGATCCTAAATTTTATATTCACTATACTCCCTAAAGTATACCTTAATAAATATTTTATGACCAGCAAAATAGCTCATCTTGCTTCACTGTTACACATTTGTCTGGCTGATAGTATGTATGTCTAAGAATCAATCATTTCGCCCTGGCTGGTTTGTCTCAGCGGTTAGAGTGTCGGCCTGTGGACTGAAGGGTTGCAGGTTCAAGCCCTGGTTGGGGTTGTGTGAGAGGCAACCAAGTGATCTCTCTCTCTCCCTCTCCCCCTTTTCCTCCCTCCCCTTCCTTCCCCCTCCTTTCCCTCTTTACCTCTCTCTCTCTTCCTTCTTCCCTTCTACTTTCTAAAAGTCATTGGAAAAAATATCCTCAGGTAAGGGTTTTTTTTAAAAAAAGAATAATTTTCACAGTATTTTATTGTATGTTTTTATTGAAAAAGACATTTCGCACAACTTTTTGCTCTTGATTTTTGGTAATGAGAACTACTATGAAATCTTAAGCACTAAGGACAGATTTCACTCTAGGTTTGCCTTTTATTTTTTTTTAACTAAATGGGAAACTTTCACTATAAGAATCTAGTGACCTATTTTATTTATAATAACTTCACTCTTATGTTCAATTTTCACTTAATCAGTGCTACTTCTTATTTCATAGACACAAGAATATTCTAAAAGTTTTAGTCTCTGAAACTAGATTATTATATTTTTTCACCAAAGTTTTAATTTGATTGAATCAATTTTCCCACCCCTGAATTTAGTCATATATATAGCTAATATGCATTGACTATTTGCTTTGCACTAGTCACTTGTATGTTTTTATATGTATTTGTTTAATCCTGCTGACAGTCTTATCCCCATCTTATGGATGAACATTAAAGGCAAAGAAAGGTTAAGAAATGTGCTAAAGCTCATAATACCAAAAAAGTGGCAGAACTGTAAATTTAGGCAATCTGAGTCTAGACGTGGCAATCTTTAATTACTTTTGTACTATAGAGGCTCTCACATTTGAACATAAGTTAAACTAGTTACAGTGCTTTTCTTGTTTTCAATTAAATTCAAAACCAGGTTCTGCTTTACAGCATAATGATTGAAGCTATTGTCACTTAGGGCTAGTTATAAACATGAGAATCATTTTTATTTTGAAGAATCAAATTGAAAATGGATCAGTAAATTGCATCATCTGGTCTAATTTCCTCCTGCATTGGCTATATCTCTGCATGAAGGGTGGGGAATGTGTCCCATATTCGGCCACTTGAACTGGTTTAGTTCTACCACTTTTATTAGTAAGATGATTCCCACAGTTATGCTACATATTGTCTTAACTCGGCTTATAACAGGATAGACTAGGAAACAAAGCTGATTACAGCTTAACATGTTCAGAAGCATCAAGTAGAGCCAAAAGCTATAAACAATTTTATGTTGCTCTTAAAATATTTTAGAAGACTGTTTTTTTTTTTCACATAAATATTTTGGTTTGTATCTGAAAGAAGCATAACCACAATACCTTTAAATACATGTAAAAAAAAATTAATGGTAATTATATCAAATATCTGGTAAGTGTTCAATTTCCATTTTCTCAAATGTTATACATGGATATTTTGAGTTTGTTTGAATCGGGATACTAATAAGGAACTTGCGCTGTTATTACTATCTGTTAAATATCTTTTAATCTCTATAAACCCCTCAATCTTTGTTTTTCTTTACCTTTTACAATTTGTGGGTTAAAATTGTTCTAAAGTCTTTCTGGCAGAATAGATTTTTCTGACTATAACCATGTGGAATGGTTCAACCTGTTTCTCTTTATTTTTTGTAAATTGGTAGTTAGAATTCAAGCATGACCAGATTCAGATTTGATTTTTTCCCCCCAAGACTTCTTTATAAGTGGGTGGTTGTCCTTCAGGTGATCCGGAGTATCTGGTTGTCTCTTAAGCTTAAGTTTGAAAGATGAGCTTTTCACTGGCTTCTGTTACATTTAGTAGGTTACAGTGATTACTATTAAGTATTCAGCCACTCGAATATGGGTAGGATATATATATATTTTTTATTACTTTTTCTAGTGTAGGCAGGCCCTCTAGTTTTAGACCTCACTTTTAGATAATATGTTTTATTTAACAAATATATGTAAGCTAGTATGTTTAAGGATACTAGGTAATCTTTCAAAAGCTGGTAATCTAAAACACTCTTTGGCCCTGGCAAGTGTGATTAACTTGGTTGGATGTCATCCTGTACACCAAAAGGTAGTGGGTTTGACTCCCAGTCAGGGCACATACCCAGGTTGTGGTTTTGATCCTGGTCAGGAGGGAGGCAACCACGATCAGTGTTTCTCTCTTTCTCTCCCCCCGCCCCCCCCCCCCCAAGTCGGTAAAACCATATCCTTGGGTAAGGATTAAAAAATAAAAATAAAACCTTTGTTCTCTCACAACCTTGTTGTGACAGTCTGGCTAACAGAAAGGGACCCTGCCTATATTACTTAAAGCTTTGGATTTTAGTGTAGATCCTACTTATCAGAGCTGGGTAGAGATTTACTCTGACTTGCCCACTTCTCCTTTTTCTTTCTTTGCTCATTAGGGACCAAACCTTTCCCCATTCTTCAGAATACCCTGGAAGACAGAGGTCATGGCTGTCTACCTAATTTGTGGAAATTGAGCTTGATGGCCTGCTTGCCACCAGCTCATGTTGGTAAGAGCTGTTATTGCTTGTCCACTGTCTGCTGACCGGTCCCCATATACCAGACCTTTAAATCCTGAAGAAACTGATATTTAGTAACCTGGGTTAATCAGACACTACACACAAAAAGAAATATTAAAACACCAGTCACTGGACATTAGAAATCAAGAGCTAGCTAGACAGACCAAGCAGAATGACCTAATTACCTCTGTTGAAAACAATGAATGAAAGAATAAGAGTTTTACAACTTTTTTTTTTTTTTTAACTTTTTTTCTTTTATTGATTTTAGGGAGAGGGAGAGATAGAAACATCGATGACAGAGAATGAGAGAATATCAATTGGCCGCCTCCTGCATGCCCCCCCACTAGGGATTGGGCCCACAGCCTGGGAATCAAGCTGGTGACATCTTGGTGCAGGGGTCAGTGCTCAACCACTGAGCCACACCGGCTGGGCTTAAAACTATTCTTTAAGGATGCGATTGCATTGCATTGATGGAAGAACAAGCTGCTGTGTGAAGAGCAATTTGAGATTAAAATCTTTTGAAACAAACATGATTTTGGGGAAAAAAATGTAACAGACAAAACAATGGATACTGCCAAAGTTTGAACATATCGCTGAGTAATTCATTATATGACTATTCCACAACGTTTTATTTATTCATCTGCTGGTGGATATTTAAGTTTCCAGGATTTTGCTATTAATAAAGCTGCTATGAACCTTTGTGTGTAAATCTTTGTAAAACAGTATATATATGCTTACCATACATACCAATTTTATAATTTTTCACTCAAAAATGAAGAGGTATTTCAAAAGTAGTTTATATCATTTTATATTCCTGTCAGTGGTGTGTGAGAGTTCTGGTTGCCCCACATACTAATACTTTGTTTTGTTCATTTTATTGTAACCATTCCAAAGGGTGTGTAGTTTCTGTAAGAGAGAAGAATGGGCTATTTAGTGACCAGAATGACTGTAGTGCTTATTTGTACTGTTCACCGGCTGTTTCTGGGTCTCAAGTACATGTGTTAGGATTACACATACTAGCCTCCTTGTGGTTGGCTAGGGCCAGGTGACCAATTGATCAGTTAGTTGTGACAAAAATGCCATGTGTCACTTCTAGGCAAAATATTTCATTGCCCTCCAGAGTTTTCTTTCTCCTTCCATGGAGATCAGTAGCATCCAGGTAAAACTTTCATATCAGCCTAGGTTCTAGTATGAGAATGTTTCAGAGCCTGCAGCCAACTTGGGATGGACATGCAACATGAATGAAAAATAAATCTTTAAGGCCCTGAGATGTTCGAGTTTTTAGTACAACATGACCTAGCCTATTCTGGTAAATTGAAGCATTCCTAAATTCTTCAGCCTAGGAATTGATTTTTTTTGTTTTGTTTTGTAATCTGCCCCTGAGTATATTTTCTATTGAGAGAGAGTGACATTGATGTGAGAAAGACACATCAATTGGTTGCCTCCTGTATGACCCCGACCAGGGCCAGGGATCAAACTTGAAACCCAGGCACATGCCCTTGACTGGGAATCGAACCCAAGACCCTTTGGTCCATGGATTGATGCTCTGACCGTTGCGCCAAGCCAACCAGGGCTGTGTCTTTAACTTTGGACAGCCTGTCTTGCTCGCTCTTGAGAGAAGACAACTGCCATGTTTTGTGCTCCTTTATGGAGAGGCCCGTGTAGCAAGAAACTGATGTCTCCAGCCAACAGCCAGCAAGGTCCTGAAGCCACAAGAACAAGCACAGAAGTGGATTTTCACCCAGTTGAACCTTGGTTTCTGATAAATCTGCTGTTAACTCATTATGTCCCCTTACGGGTAATGTGTTATTTTTCTCTGGCTTTTTTCAAGACCTTTTTCTTTCTTTAATCTTCAGAAATTTGATTATGATGTGTTTGAGCATGGGATTCTTTGGGGTCATCTTGTTTTGGGTTCACTTGGCTTCTTGACTCTAGATTATATCTTCTGTCAAATACGGAAAGTTTTCAGTCATTATATCTTTCTGATTTAGTCCCTCATTCTTTCTCCTCTTCTGGAACTCTACTTGAATGTTAGCTCTTTCGTTATAGTCCCACAAGTCTCTGAGATTTTGTTCATTTTTATTCAATTTATATTCTGTTCAGATTAGATCATCCTTAATGGTCTATCTGCAGATTTCACTGACTCTTTTCTCAGTCATCTACATTCTGCTGTTTAAGCCCATCTGGTAAGTTTTTTTGTTTTCGTTATTATATTTTTCAGTTTTAAAATTTCCATTTTAGTCTTTTATATATTTGTTATTCAAGTTGATATTTTCCTGGTTCACGAGATGAGTAATTTTGCACTGGATCCTGGACTTTTTGTTTGGGACTCATTGTACCCCTTTAAATTGAAAACATGTGACTTCTGTTCTAGAAATTACTTTCTTTTAAAAATATTGCTCCTCTTTCATATTTTCTATCTGTCTTGACCTATTAGAAGTTTTCAGCAGTCTACCTTCCATAACCTTAACATCTCATATCATTCACCTCTCTACCCCCTCCCTCTGTGTTATGCTCTGGGTGGTTTCTTCATATCTTTCTTCCAATTCATTGAATTTTCTCTGAGTCTAGTCTACTGTTAACCCATCTAAATAAGTTTTATTTTATTCTAAGAACTATTTTTTTTCTCATTTTGTTCATCTGTTCTAGTTTCATAATCTCTTGTGCTCATCGATGAATTTTAGTTTTTCCAGTATTTGAACATTTAAAACACACTTAAAAATATGTTTTTATTGATTTTTTTCTTTTTTAGAGGAAGGGGGAGAGAGAAACATCAGTCAACTGCCTCCTGCACGCCCCCTACTGGGGATCAAGTCCACAACCCGGGCATGTGCCCTGACTGGAAATCCAACCGGGACCTCAGTTCATGGGACGACACTCAATCCACTGAGCCACTCCGGCCAAGCAAAAACACTAATTTCAAAGTCCTTTTAATCTTTCTCTCATTTCTGGTTCTTAAAGTAAGAATTCTGCCACTTATTGTTGCTTAACATTGAATTTCACTGTGTTTTATAAGTTTGTGAGTTCATCTGTGGCATTTTCTTCTGCGAGTGTTTTGTTTAGGGCTTCATTTTGTGTAGACACAATTGCTTTGTTTGGAGAAATTTTTAGATTGTTTCTACTGGGGCGCTAGATGTTTTCCTGAAACTAAGCCATTTGTTATGCTAATTTTGTTGAATGCAAGTCCAAGATGTAGCTGGTATGAATTTGGCTTCTGCGTTCATGTGTTGTTAGTGGCCCGTGGTCTGGGAGGGAAAGCTTGTTTTCTACTATGACCCTGAGTTTAGTAGATACTGATTTTCGAGTCCTCATATTGAAACAGGGCTTTCCTGGTTCCGAAAATGCCCCATTTCTGCTCCTTACTGTCCATTCGTTTCTTCCTTGAGTACTTGAGTACCTTTTTTTTTTTTTTTTTTTTTTAACGAGGAGAAGAGGAATGTTTCACCATCATATCCATGTCTTTGGAGCAGGGATAGCAATGTTTCACATACAGTTCCTCAGTTTCTCCAAAAGGAAGGAAGTGCTGTCAGTATTTTTCATGTATTATTTCACTTACTCCTCACAACCTGTGAAGTAAATGGCATTATCTCCATTTTACAGACGAGGTAGTGGTTTGAGAGTTACTCACCATAAGTCACAGGTAGTCAACTCGCAGACTTAGAATTTAAACTCAAGACTGTGTTGTTTTCCACTACTTTTCCTGTTTCACTGTGTTGTTTATTTTTAATTTACATCCTTTTGCCCTTTGAAAATCAGGTTTGGACATTTGAAGAGAACAAATATGCAACCTGACTGAATTTCATCTAAAAATATCTGACTGGTTGTTCAATGGCACATACTTCTTCTCATTTTCATACGTATAAAAACCGTGGGCTGCATTCTTAAATGCAGCTAATTTCTGGATTGAGCTGCTTAACTGTGCCACCTTTCAGCATCTCCTACCAGAACTGCCTCGTGCTCACTGGCATTAGACTTCAGACTGACAGCACTTTCCTGAATGGCAGACACCGCCACCAATGAAAGGCTCTATTTTTGACAAAATACAGAAGCGCTCACCCTCCCTGCACACTCCTTCCCTGCCCCTCCCAACATGGCTGGCACCGCATCCAGTGCTCACTCCTTGGCTATTTGCAAGTTTATTTAACAGCCTACCCACTGTCTCCTTCCATGGAAAGTATTTTCCTCCTTGTCTTTTGGAATGCATTTGAAGCAGCTTCTTTTAACCAGTAAAAGCATTTAGTTCTTCTATTTTAGGAAACTTGAATATTCCTGTGTAGTTCATGTTGGATAAAATATATTGAATGCAAGCAAGTTATCTTTTCTTTTTTTCCAGTCTTTATGCCAGTCTTTTAAGAAAGAATCTGTTTGCATCTCATTCTTCTTCGGCTGCTCCTACTTCAGTGAGGGGCACTTCTGGATCAAGTTCCCGGAGGCAACACCTTCGGGAAAACTGCATTTTTTTTAGGACGACTGACATCACTCCTGGTGCCATTGGATTCTACCCTGTTTTCTGGGAGTTTGGCTGTTATTTAAAGCATGTAAATCTTGAGTCTCACCAAGTCTTATGTTTTTTCAAATGATCTTCAGAAGTGCTTTTGTAGAAAATTTAAAATGTCACTCGAACTATACAAACATTTTTACTAATGATGTTAAAGCACAATGCAACAATCAGATCAAAAGCCCACTACAGTTTCTCTTGCATCAGTTCTGAAAACCCTAACCTCTATAGATACCCAGAAAGCCCTCCCTGTAGGCCCATTAAAAAAAAATAGTTGATTTTTTTCAACCCTCCCATCAATTCTGTTGAATTCAGAAGAATTACAGGCAATTTCAAACTTGTATTTTAGAAGTTAATTTGTAAAAGAATGATAGCCATCATCTCTGACGATGTAGGCTGAAAATGAAATAACCTCTTGTTCGTAGAATTGGTACAAATGTTTCCGGTAGGAACAGTGATATAGAGGAAAGGGCTTGTTTCCTAAAGTGGCCTGTAAAGCC